CAGCCTGCCTCCTACCTGGTCATCCCTGTGCCACTTTCGAGGGCTGCGGGGGGCTGCGATCTGTGAAACCGTCGCCACTTTCGAGGGCTGCTGGGGGGCCCAGCACAGTGGGTACCCACCGCGGACTCAAATTAGACCTCGCCATCCCTGGGGGGCTGCGATCTGTGAAACTGTCGCCACTTTCGAGGCCTGCTGGGGGCCCAGCACAGTGGGTACCCACGGCGGACTCAAATTAGACCTCGCCATCCCTGGGGGGCTGCGATCTGTGAAACTGTCGCCACTTTCGAGGCCTGCTGGGGGGCCCAGCACAGTGGGTCGCAACGCGCGGACCCAAATTAGACCTCGCCATCCCTGGGGGGCTGCGATCTGTGAAACTGTCGCCACTTTCGAGGCCTGCTGGGGGGGCCCAGCACAGTGACGCCACGCAGATTCAAATTAGACCTCGCCATCCCTGGGGGGCTGCGATCTGTGAAACTGTCGCCACTTTCGAGGCCTGCTGGGGGGCCCAGCACAGTGACGCCACGGGCGGACCCAAATTAGACCTCGCCATCCCTGGGGGGCTGCGATCTGTGAAACTGTCGCCACTTTCGAGGCCTGCTGGGGGGTCCAGCACAGTGGGTAATCGCGGCAGACTCAAATTAGACCTCGCCATCCCTGGGGGGCTGCGATCTGTGAAACTGTCGCCACTTTCGAGGCTGCTGGGGGGCCCAGCACAGTGGGTACCACCGCGGACTCAAATTAGACCTCGCCATCCCTGGGGGGCTGCGATCTGTGAAACGGTCGCCATCTGTGAAAATGCTGGGGGACCTTCATCACGGTGGGACTCAGCGACACGCAGACTCAAATGTAGACCTCGCCTTCCCTGGGGGCTGCGATCTGTGAAACTGTCGCCACTTTCGAGGCCTGCTGGGGGGCCCAGCACAGTGTGTACTCACCGCGGACTCAAATTAGACCTCGCCATCCCTGGGGGGCTGCGATCTGTGAAACTGTCGCCACTTTCGAGGCCTGCTGGGGGGCCCAGCACAGTGGGTACCCACCGCAGATTCAAATTAGACCTCGCCATCCCTGGGGGGCTGCGATCTGTGAAACTGTCGCCACTTTCGAGGCCTGCTGGGGGGCCCAGCACAGTGGGTACCCACCGCGGACTCAAATTAGACCTTGCCATCCCTGGGGGGTCTGCGATCTGTGAAACCGTCGCCACTTTCGAGGGCTGCTGGGGGCCCAGCACAGTGGGTACCCACCGCGGACTCAAATTAGACCTCGCCATCCCTGGGGGGCTGCGATCTGTGAAACTGTCGCCACTTTCGAGGCCTGCTGGGGGGCCAGCACAGTGGGTACCCACCGCAGACTCAAATTAGACCTCGCCATCCCTGGGGGGCTGCGATCTGTGAAACTGTCGCCACTTTCGAGGCCTGCTGAGGGGCACAGCACAGTGGGTGCCCACCGCAGACTCAAATTAGACGCCGCTTTCGTCCTTGTTCTCCTCCTGCAGTCACCTTCCCTCTGCTGCTGCCGTGCTGATGGTTCGGCTTCCCGCACGTTTTTCTCTGCTCTGCGTTCCCGACTCCCCATGTCCTCTTCGAGCCTGTAGCTGTCGCCCCTCGTTCTTGTATGGTTCTCCTGCGCATCATGCCATAGGCGCGTGTCCCAAGTAGCTTACACATCAAGTTGATTGTCCATGCAAGTTTCGGCCAACTCCTCGTTTCCATTGATACAAATGGGTTGGGTACGTCACAGTTTTTTTTCGCCAATTTTGGAGTAAGGTTTGATTTTTTAATTTGTCGTCGAAAATCCCCCTGTAGGGGGGACACGCCCGACTTAAGTCTCGTGGCCTTTGGGCCCCTCGGGCGCCCCTCTTTTTTTTTGGGGGGGGGGACAAGCACACAGAGACACAATGGATCGTAGACTCCCAGGAAAAATCTGGGAACGTGTGGGAAGTGGGGGGGAAGGCGAGAATCCAGAACATGCGAGGAAAGAGGGTGAATCGTGGGATTTGTGAGTATTGCGAAGGCCTGACGGCCGGTGCCGCCGACCCTGTTCGCAATGCGCAGCAAGAGGCACGGGCTGTGGGATGGTTTGGGGGAACGGGGAGAAGGACGAGAAGGTGGGGGAGGGAGGTGTCGTATCTGACCCGGGACTTCCCCGGGACTCCCCCGGGACCCCCCCCGGGACCTCCTCTCCCCCCCCGTCGGGGAAGGGAAAGGGAAGGGGCTTCCCTTCGACTCAATGACGACGTTGCTCAAGGTCGGTACGGGGGGGGGGCGTCGTATCTGACCGGGGGGGGGGTCGCTACCCCCCCCGCTACCCCCCCCCGCCTCCCGGCCAAAGGGAAGGGGCTTCCCTTCGACTCAATTACGAGGTTGGCTCAAGGTCGGAGCTGGATCAAAGGTCGTAAGGGTCGCTTCCCTTCGACTCAATTACGAGGTTGCTCAAGGTCGGCTTGGCTGGAGCCCAGGGGAAGAGGAGTCCCAGGGGGGGGCGTCGTATCTGACCCGGGGGGGGGGTCGCTACCCCCCCCCCCTCCCGGCGGGGGAGGGATGAAAGGGAAGGGGCTTCCCTTCGACTCAATTACGAGGTTGCTCAAGGTCGGCTTGGCTGGAGCCCAGGGGAAGAGGAGTCCCAGGGGGGGGCGTCGTATCTGACCCGGGGGGGGGGTCGCTACCCCCCCCCCCTCCCGGCGGGGGAGGGATCAAAGGGAAGGGGCTTCCCTTCGACTCAATTACGAGGTTGCTCAAGGTCGGCTTGGCTGGAGCCCAGGGGAAGAGGAGTCCCAGGGTGGGGCGTCGTATCTGACCCGGGGGGGGGGTCGCTACCCGAGATTCGATCTCTTTACAACCAGAATAACCACTTTACAACCAGATGGGTTACTTTACAACCAACATAGGATTGGAAAGTATGGTTTTTCATCGAGAACGTCCACTTTGCAACCAGAACGGCCCACTTTACAACCAGAACGGACCACTTTACAACCAGAACGGGCCACTTTACAACCAGAACGGACCACTTTACAACCAGCTCAGAGTGGCCGTGCGTGTTTGGGCGTTCCGCGAAGTGCTCCAGAGCAAGTGGGCGCTCTGAGAAATGCCCCAGAGCAAGTGGGCGCTCTGAAAAATGCTCCAGAGCAAGTGGGCGCTCTCAAAAGTGCTCCAGGGCGCGCGGACGCTCTGAAAAGTGCTCCAGAGCACGTGGGCGTTCTGGAGCCCGAGCGCCTGAACTTTCTGCGCAGGCCCCAGCGATGCCTCTGAGCCCGAGCGCCTGAACGCCCTGCGCAGGCCCCAGCGATGCCTCTGATCCCGAGGACTTCGACGCTCTGCGCAGGCCCCAGCGATGCCTCTGAGCCCGAGGACCTGGACGCTCTGCGCAGGCCCCAGCGATGCCTCTGAGCCCGAGGACCTGGACGCTCTGCGCAGGCCCCAGCGATGCCTCTGAGCCCGAACGCCTGGACGCTCCGGCGCTCTGAGCCCAGCACACTAAGACAGGGCTTGCTAGCAGGGGCCAAGCGGCCTCAACAAGGGCCCCGTGCTCGCACGGGAATAAGGCGACAGCATACGTAGGAAGGCTCAGGGCGACGCGCTGCCCATTTTAGGGACCCCTCACAGGAAGCGAGCCCAGTGGCCTCCACAAGGGCCCAGCGCCCCAGGGAACCAGGCCATTGGCACCGCGGGTCTCTTAGGCCACGTTGGCCCCTGAAGCCCCACGGTGTTCTGCAAGGGGCTAAGTGCTCCAGCTCCAGTTGGCCCCCTGCTGCTCCTCTTCTTGGAAGATCGAGGTTCAACGTTCCGAATAAATGCGATTATTTCGAAGATCGTTCCTTCCAGCGTCAGCCACAGTGCCAGCGCAGCAACGCAGGTATCCTGCTCGGGCAGCAGCTTCAGCCACCGTGCCAGCGCAGCAGCTTGAGCCACCGTGACAGCGCATCACCGCCACCTTTGTGCCTGCTACCACCACACTTACCGCTGCAGCCCCGCTACCTCCACAATTCCGACTGACCCCCCGCTACCGCCGCAAATCCCATTGCAGCCCAGCTACCACCACAGTTCCCACCGCTGCCTGGCGACCGCCACAGTTGCCACCGCAGCTTCCCAACGCCATGCAGTTCCCATTGTAGCCCCCGCTACCACCACATCTCCCACTACAGCTTCCCGCTGCCATGCAGCTCCAGTCTTGGACGGGATCATGGTTTATTCGTATGTCCTGCGCGACTAGCCTTCGTCCGTCAGAAAAAGGCAGAGCAAGCAATGGCAGAACTGACCGGCAGAGCTTAGAGAGCAGGTCAAAACCCTAATCCGCCCACCAGCACGCAACATACCATAGCGCACCAGGTCTTCGTGCGCGATGGGCAACTTCACAACCAACATGCATCAAAGAGCCCAAAGCCACCCTTGCGCTTGCCCACGGAGATTTCAGGGAAAGGCCCGCGTGCATTCAATATGTGTTTTTACTTGCCTGGTTGTGAAGTGCCCTTCCTGGTTGTAAAGTGCCCTTCTCGGATTTTGTAAGCTGGTTGTAAAGTGACCCATCTGGTTGTGAAGTGCGCTTCTGGTTGTAAAGTGACCCACACGCGTCGCTACCCCCCCCCCCCCCCTCCCGGCGGGGGAGGGATCAAAGGGAAGGGGCTTCCCTTCGACTCAATTACGAGGTTGCTCAAGGTCGGCTTGGCTGGAGCCCAGGGGAAGAGGTCTCCCAGGGAAAGGGAAGGACAGAGACGACGAGTACAAAGAATGACGGAGATGACGGCTCGAACGGAAAAGCCCCTCACACACGCCGACAGGGTCGGCGGATTCTCTTGTGTGTCCCTGGGCCCCTTCACCCTCTTGTTCACGGACGATGCGATGCTGGTAGCTGGCGGTCATCCAGAGAGGAGCCATTTCTTTCGATCTTGCCCAGCGATCCCAGACTGCCGAAGCGCCGACCCGACCCGAACCCTGCCAGGGGTCCGAGCCGGGCACCCTGTTTCGCCCCCCCCCCCCCCCCTCAACCACCCCCTACCCCCACATCAGGTAGCTCGTCCCCGACCCCGGCGCCAGCGCCGCCGTCGGGTCCTGTCTCGGCCATCGGCGACCCACACCTGGTCAACGTGCACGGGCAGCGCTTCGACCTGATGAAGCCTGGCGTCCACGTCCTCCTCCGCGTGCCATTCAGAGCGAGCCGCCTGGAAGCGCTCATCGTCGTGGAGGCTGAGGCTCAACGGATAGGAGGCGCCTGCGCGGATACATATTTCATGAGCATCAACATGACGGGAACATGGGTGGAGACCAAGGTCAATGCGCTCGGCCTGGTTGGCGGCCACGGCCTTTACTTCAACGCGGGCACCGGGGCAGCCCACACAGGCACGCCGTGGATGTCCTTCGGGAGGGTGTGGCTGAAGGTGAGGCACGGCCGCACCAGCACAGGCACAGCATACCTGAACTTTTTCGCTCGCAACCTGAGGCACTCGGGCCACCTCGTGGGAGGGCTCCTCGGGGAGGACGACCACACTGAGGCGGAAACCCTGAACATTGGATGCAAGAAAACCCTCGAGATTTGAGTCTTACGCAGAGCTCATCGTCCCTTCGCGCTGCTGCCATTCCTGCGAACTCTTCCCAGAGCGTGCTCAGGGAAGTATCCGGGGTGACAGAGTTTTAAGTCTACGCTGCTTTCCGAAAAGAGTACAATGCCAAACTGCGTCAGGCATGATCACTGCAGATACGAGTATGCAACGTTTTGCATGCAGTTGCAAGTGAGCGTCTGGATGTCCGACCCCGCCCTCCTCCCTCACCTGCTCCTCTCGTTCATCCCGCCAGGCTCCCTCTTGTCACCTCCCTGCTGCCTCGTTCCACAGATGTTTCTCCTCCCTCCTCTTCGTCCCCGCCATCCCTCCTCGTCCCCTGTTCTCGTCGCTGTCCCCGTCGTGATCATTGTCGTCGTCGTGATCCTCCGCCTCCTTCGCCTCCTTATCGTCCTCGTCCCCTTCTGACCCCCCCCCTCCTCCTTCTCCTCCTCCTCCTCCTCCTCCTCCTCCTCCTCGTCCTCCTCCCCTTAACCTTCTCATTTGATTGTATTGCCATTCTCGATAAAAGGACAACGGACGTTGGCCCCGTCGTCCCCCCTAGTTTGCTTGGATGTTGGGCCAGGTCACGGCTAGCTTATTTTACTCCAGGTCAGCAACCGCGAATTCTCGGCGCATGCATTTGACATGCCTCTCCCTCATGCTTTGTCTTCTTGGGAAGGCGAGGGCAAATGTCGTCCTTTGGTAGACCTCCCCCTCCTCCTCCTCCTCCTCCTGCGCCTCCTCCTCCTCCTCCTCCTCCTCCTCATCTCCTCCTCATCTCCTCCTCCTCCTCCTCCTTCTCCTCTTTCTCTTCATCATCGTCCTGAAGCTCGTAGTCGTCGCCATCGTCGGCCTTTTTTACTCCTGGAGGGCGTCCTTTGGGAGAGAGTTGAACAACCAGGGGCATGCGCCTTCTGGCGCCTGAAGGGGCGAAGCTCCCGTACAGGGCGTCGGGTATAAGCGGGCGAACGACACGGGAAACGAGGTGGACCAATAGGAATGTGAGCATTGTAAAAGAAGGATAACGAACAGGAGAAGGTTCATGTAGAAGAGGAGGAGGAGGAGCAAGGAGGCAGGAAGAGGAAGAGACATGAGCAGAATGAGAGACGGATGAAGAGGAGGATAATGAGTGGACGATGGGGAGGATGAGGGAAGGATCGGATGCGAGAGAGGAAAGGAGGACGACGAGCAGGGGCAAGAGGAGGTTGAGCTCGAGGAGGAAGATAATACCAGAAGGAAGAGGAGGAGGAGGAGGAGGATCAGGAACATGTGCATCCTGTAAAGGAGAGCGGAGAAAGAAGATGGTGGAGAAGGAAGAGGAAGAGGAGGAGGGGCAGCACGAGTTTGATCGTGATGGTCACGAGAACGACGCTCTTCTGGGGGGCCCTGGGGGAGGAGTCACGGCAGCGCACAGCGCGCTGCATCCTCTTCTCACAGGGGTGGGGCGGCCGCGGAGGGATGGGCGTGCGGGGCCAAGTAGAGCGTGGCTGGGTCCCCAAAGGGAGCACCTCACACTGTCTCGCTTTCTCCCGCCCTCCCTCGTGCCACCCAAGACTCAGCGCAGGCGGGGGCCGCCGCTCTATGAGGGAGCCAGTGCAGGCGCCAGGCGTGCCACGCTCGCGGGTTGTGCCGCGCGCACCAGGTGTGCCAGTTGCCCAAGTGCGTCATGTGCGCCTGGTTCGTCAGGTGCGCCGCATGCGCCAAACGTGCCACGTGTTCCAGGTGCGCCGCGTGCGCGATGCGCGAAGAGCGCTCCAGTTGTGCCACTGCACGTAACAGCACACATTTGACAAGCTGCCGACGCCCCCACCATTCCTGCCACTTGCTCCAGAGAAAGCCCACATCAGTTGTTCTCACGAACACGATGTCTGCGCGCCGGTGGGCGGCGAGGGCAACGGATGAACAATGTGGGTCTTTCCGTTCTTTGCTCTCTACTTTCTGATTGGTCAGAGTGAGGGGGCCGAACTGTCATTCATTGTCCCTTGGTGCGTGGCTGAAGTGGGGATCCGTGGTGAGGATTCGGCTTGTTGTGTTTTTGCGTTGTTGTGTTGTTGCGTTGTTGATGTTTGTTGTCGTCGTCCTACCTGCGACCCACCCGCGACCCACCCCGCGACCCACCCCGCGACCCACCCCGCGACCCACCCGCGACCCACCCCGCGACCCACCCCGCGACCCACCCGCGACCCACCCGCGACCCACCCGCGACCCACCCGCGACATACCCCGCGACCCACCCGCGACCCACCCGCGACCCACCCCGCGACCCATCTGCGACCCACCCGCGACCCACTTGCGACCCGCCCGCGACCCACCCCGCGACCCACCGCGCGACCCAACAGCGACCCACCCGCGACCCACCCGCGACCCAACAGCGACCCAGCCGCGACCCAGCCGCGACCCAGCCGCGACCCATTTGCGACCTACCCGCGACCCACCCGAGATCCACCCACATTGGTTTAAAGAAAAAATCGGAGCCTGCGGCGGGCTCGTTGTATAATTTGTGAATATTTGGCGCCTGCCGCGGGCTTGTCCAGAGTCTCGCAGACTGCCGACGCCCCCATCGCCCCCTCACTCTTATCCGCATCTGCGGGGTGCTATACATGCTATACATTATCTACTCTCTATTATCTACTCTCTACTCTGCACCCTTACACTCGATCTCTACATCCGCTCTGCACTCTCCACCATCCACTCCCTGCCTGCTCCGTGCCCTCTGCTCCTTGCACTGCGTTCTGCCCCGAGCTCATGATTCTCTACGGAGAGAAGCTTTGGCTCAGCGTGTTTCCTGCCCGTTCTCGCCCCAAGAAGACGGAGAATGGCTGATGTCGCAATGGTCACAAGGAGGAGAACATGGGCTCGCGCAGTAGGCCGGGAGAGGTTACGGTCAGGAGCTTTGTCATAGCGGGTCGCTCCACCGGTTTTGGCCCGGCACCCTTCGGCGCGACACGCCATCCACGTCCCAGTCCCTCAGCGTCAACATCCCGAGCCTTTCCCAGCCTCGCGCCCAGCAGAGCGGAGCGACACGCTATCCGCTCGCAGGGCATAGCGTGTCGCTGGGGCCACCGCTTCGACACGCTATGCACAAGTTCCCAACCGTAACCTATGAGAGTTCCTTGCTCCTGCACTCCCGACTGGGACATGTTACATAATGTTTCGAGCAGTTACTGGCACCCGAATCGGATCCAATCATGAAATTATACCGTTCGGTGGGTACCCCGATCCAGCCCGGGCGATGTTTTTTTCCCCAACCATCTTGTGTTGAGTTGGGGCCTCTTTTCGAAGACAACGCGTCCCTCCCACCTCCTCCCTCTCCTCCCTCCTCCCGTCCTTCCCTTTGCCCTCCGTTCAACCATTTCGGCACCATTCCGGCACACCCCTCACATGTTTCATGCCCCTATGGGGAGCTCCTCCGACGGCCCCAGCGGCAGGGTCCGCATGGCGCGCCCGCACCTGATCCGGCACACCCCTCACACGCTTGTGGCCCCACAGAGAGCTCCACCCAGAACCCCAGCGGCAGGGTCCGCATGGCGTGCAGGGGCAGATCCGGCACACCCCTCACACGTTCTGTGGTCCCACCGGAGGCCCAGGCGGCAGGGTCCGCATGGCGTGCCCGCACCCGATTCGGCACACCCTTTGCACGTTTGTGGCCCCATAGGGAGCTCCACCGAATGCCCCAGCGGCAGGGCCCGCATGCGTACCCGCACCTGATCCTGCACATCCCTCACACGTTTTGTGCTCCCACAGGGAGCTCCACCGAAGGCCCCAGCGGCAGAGTCCGCATGGCGTTCAATCGTCCCCCTCACACGCCCAGTGGCCCCTTATCAGGATCTCCACCGAAGGCGCCAGGCTCCGCACGGCTCACCCGCACCCGATTCGGCGCACCCCTCACACGTTTCCTGGCCCTTTCGGAAGCTCCGCTGGAGGGCCCGGCAGGTTCCGCATGCATCTCCCCGTCCCATTTTGGCACACCCTACATCCGCTTCGTGGCCCCTTGAGGAGACTCATCGCAAGTGATATTCACAACGACAGTATTCACAACTGCGTATGGTTGGGTCCTTCGCCAGGATGATTACTGATGTGGAGTCCCTCTACATCATAACCATACGGGCCACCCTTGCACTCCAGTCTCAAAGTCATTGAGAAAATCTGAACGTCAGCTTAAACGTATCACCAGCAAATTCATCCAACTTACATAATTTGATTGAGCGCGCGCACTTGCCATACGCTGCGGGTCTGCAAGCTGCTGCTGGCCAACTTTTGGGTGAATTCGTCAAGGGCGAGGGGTGAATTGGTGTTCAAATGCTTGCGAGGCCTTGCGCATGGTGTGGCTATGGGACGTGTCGCATGCACGCGCGCGCTCAGTTCAGCCATGATCTCTGGCATGAAAGGAGAGCTTCTTGGTTCGAAGGGTTTTGACGGAGTGCAGTGATTTTTGATAGTGCGTGTCGGTGGGCTCGACGTACTTCATGATCTCATGTGGCTCCCTACTCTGCGCTGTCCCTGCTCTCATCCCTGTTGGTGCTCTGCTTCTTCCTGTCTCTACGCTGCAACGCCAACAGTTTATAAGGACCATCTTCTCCTTCAGCCCGACCAGTCGCATCTGGTCCGGGGTGCTTCCCATTGCAAATGATCCCCTTCGGTCTGGTCTGGTCCTGTCTGGGGCACTTCCCCTTCAGTGCGCTGCACGTCGCGCGCACTGTCCTGTGCAAATGGTATATTGCGGTGACGCAGCTCGATCTGACTAGGGCATTTCATTGCAAGTGCTAGCATGCGGTGCACCTACGCTTCCGTTTTGCTGGGGATCTTCAACAGAGTGGACACGATGGTTTCACGCGCGCGCACATGTCGAACTTTAGAGATTCCGTCATGTTTTAATAGCGAATTCCGTGGCACATTCAGTGTCAGCGTCTGGCTTCTTCCGACATAAGCATATGGCAGATGATGTGCGCGGCGCTCACACATGCTGAAGTCATTGCGAGGACATTGGTTTCCTACAACCTGGGTCAGCATCTATCACAACCCGTTGGGCTTTTCAACAGAAGTTTGCTCAGTTTCACGAGATCGCGCCGTGCTCGAGTTCCTCCTCTACTCTGCAAATCGCGCGCCGTGTCTTATCTCGTGCAGGGTACCACACGGGCCACACGCGAGTGCTAACTGATGTCAAGACAAACAAATGCTACATGGGTGCGTGAGTTCATCAAAATCTCGTCCAATACCTGCGCGGTTGTCGTGCCTTGGGCTCCAAGCATTTGCTTGATCCTCTGTTGTCTGGCTTATGTCCCAAGGACGTCTTTACTTGGATTCGCTGGAGTCGATCAACGGATTTGTTTGTTCCCTCTACCTTCGGGTTGACAGACAGTTCTGCGGTCCCTCTGCCATGCTGGGCTTGCGGGCTTTGGCTCTGATTCGCGGCTCTCCCAGCTCGTTCTGTCCTTGCACCTGGTGGACCCGGTCCTCGACGTCACTGTGCATCTTTGGCGCTCGCGTGGAGGACTTCACGTTCTGAGCACGGCTCTTCATTCTCCGCCTTTCTCCTTTCTGGCCGTTGCCTCTTAGTGCCCAATTCGCTCTTGGAGTGTCTGTCCCGCCGGTTGACCGACCGGCGCCTTACCGCTCTTGCGCCCGCGGACGGACCGAATAGCGTGAGTTCGTAACGTTGCATTGCCTTCTTCGTGGGCTGGGAGGTGGAGGGCAAGTTCAGATTTGCAACAAGGTCCCGTCGCTCACTTCTGTGACGGCGTTTCGTGCGAAATACAGGCGGCTCTGACACAAAGTGTGACGATGGGGGCCATGATCATTTCCTGTTCGGGTGGAAGAGCGGGCGTGATGCACCATCTTGGCATGACAAGAGATCGGACCTCAATTGTAATATGTTGTCTCCATGATTCTTCTGGGAGCCAGGGAACGCAGCCGCCCAGTGGAGTCGGCGGGGGACGCCCACCAGAACCTGGAAGGCGCCATCTGTGAACCCAGCCGCCCGCTGAAGTTCTGCATGTTGGGATTCCTAGATCCTGGAAGGTGCAATCTGTGAATCCAGCCGCCCGCCGAAGTTCTGCATATTGGGACCCCTAGACCCCAAACCAGCGACCAGCTTCAGTGCAATGGTGATTTGTTGAATGGGGAATCGTTCTGAGGCTGCGCCCCCCTCTTCCTCCCCCATCTCTGGTTAATTCAAGCTTCGCGCGGCCCGCTCAGCTTCGACTGGAAGAGGTGCGCTCCCGACCCGCGAATCAAAAAATTGTTGAATGGGGGGAACGCTTCCGGGAACCCCGGAAATCGGCCCCCGGCGGGGGGACCACGGGTCACGACCAGTCTTGTTTCTGGCAAGCCGCCCACCGGCTTTCACACACACCGGACTCTGCTGACACATTGTTTCGGCAACCGTGCGTTCCTTTGCAAGTACGTCGGCTTCGGCACCGCCTGATTCCGAGTCTTTGCCTCCTCCCGGCCTCGTTCTGAGGCTGCGCCCTCCTTTTCCTCCCCCATCCCTTATTGATTCAAGCTTCGCGCGGCCCGCTTAGCTTCGACCAGTAGAGGTGCGCTCTCGACCCGCGAACCCAAAAATTGTTTCGGCAACCGTGGCGAGCTACGCTTAGGGGTCAATGAATTGCAGTAGCAGGGTCCAGCGTGTTACAGCCGACTCCAACTGGATTCATCGTGCCGCTGCTGCTGCGATCGTTGGGGCCCTTCCTCCCACCCCTTTGCCCCGCCAACACAAATCCAAGGAAAGTCGTTATGAGTGCCAGTCTTGTTGCAACACCGACAGGAATTCGACGGCAACGCCAGCCGCCAACTCGTGGCTTAAGCCATGTGCCAGAGTGACGGTCAACTCGGCTGCCCGTCCGTTAACAGCACCGACTCCTCTGTCCCGCTGCTGGTGCCTTCTGCCGTTTCCATGGCTCTACTAGATCTACGATTCCTCTCTTGTTTCTCGTCCTTGCACTCCGAATCACGGGTGGAACAGTTTACTGCCATCTCCTAGCGTTCATGCCCACTGTCATGCTTGATGGGCCGATTTCCACCACCACTACTATAGGTGGGAGAGGAAGGAGGAGGAGGAGGAGGAGGAGGAGAAGGAGGAGGAGGACCTCCCCATCCTCCCTTCTCCCCCGTTCTACCTATGGTAGTGGTGGTGGAAAAGTGGCCCTTCAATACTCGTGCCCACCCGCGCAAGGCTGGCTGATGTGTGATTCGCTGTCTCCGCAACTGCCTAATTATTCCGTGCTGATGGCTGACAGAGTTTTGCCAGCAGGCTCACAGCACGCTTGGCATGTACGTGGGTTCTGAACCTCGGAGAGTTCCTGCCTCCTCCTTCATCCCTTTCCTCTCTTGCCCCCTCCCCCCTTCCCCGCGACAGATCTGGCTCACATCTTTTGTGTCCCTGGCTCATTCCATCCTGCACACATACGCGAACATTCATTATCAGTCCCGCAGCTTGCTCCGGCAGCCACAGTCAGTATGAGTACGTCTTTTTCGAGACACGCAGCGGTGCATGTCGCGGTACTCTCAGTATCGAGTTACGCTGCCGCGCCAATCTGCGATCATGCTTGGGGGACGCCTGGTGGAAGGGGGGGGGGGTCTGAGGGCGGGGAGGGGTTCCGGGGGGGTGCTGGGGGAGGACACGACCCCGAAATCCGCAGCTTTGATTTCGGTAACAGTCTTGTGCGGAAGGCGAAGAGGGACTTGGTCAACAAATGAACACGCATTGGGATCGATTCGGCGGGGGCCTGAATCATCGTTTGCTTCGCAAGAGGATGAGCCGAGGACAAAAGAGGGGCCCAACACAGCAACCGTTGCAGGCGCGGTGGCGGATATGCTGCTATCATGGGTTCTGCAGGCATCAGGGTGTCCACTGGCACATGCGAACTCCAGGCGTGTGAAAGTACCGAATACTCAGACGTGTTCATGATGCAGACCTCGATGGAAGTGTCGGACGACGTGCAAAACCGTACTGGTGGTAATCGTCGTCATCGCCGTTCGGGCAAGCGCACTCCTCCAGCCATGCCCCCGGTGGGCATGCCCGCGGCAATGATGCCTCCACCGGAAGGCATGCCCGCGGCGATGATGCCTCCACCGGAAGGCATGCCCGCGGCAATGATGCCTCCACCGGAAGGCATGCCCGCGGCAATGATGCCTCCATCGGACGGCATGCCCGCGGCAATGATGCCTCCATCGGACGGCATGCCCGCGGCAATGATGCCTCCATCGGACGGCATGCCCGCGGCAATGATGCCTCCATCGAACGGCATGCCCGCGGCAATGATGCCCCCGTCGGGCATGGACGGTGCAGCCCTGCCGCCGTCGACAGGCATGCCCGACGCCGAGGTGGCTCCGCCTGGAGGCGGCACCGTGGCCGCGGCGGCTCCGGGCGTCCTGTCCGCCATTGGCGACCCGCACTTGGTCAACGTGCACGGGGAGCTTACCGTCGGGGCCTTGACCTAAGGAACCCTAAATAAGGAACGAGGCCCCTTTTTCCAAAAGTTTAACTCCGATTTCCGATCGAAGACATAAGGAAAACCTGAGGCAAGCTGTGAAACAATTAAGGAACGCGAAGCCCCTCCCCAACCAAAAGGGTTCCTTCTTCAGGGCCCCGACTGTACCGGCCTGGAACTGTTCCCTATCCTTACTGCGGGTACGACTTGTTTCCATAGCCACCGCGTCTTGGAGTTTCGGGCTCCAGTGGCGCAGTGGATATGGATGTCAATCTTGCCCACACTCATGGTTGGCATCGCCCGAGCTAGATGCTGATCTTAAGGATTCCCTTCCTTTCCGAGGGCGCCCTAAGATGGTCATCGCCTCTGGGTTTGCCACTCGCATGGATGGGAGTACGGTCGAGGCTGGTTAGGAGCACTTCGACGTGCTCAAGCCTGGCGTCCACGTCCTCCTCCTCGTGCCCTTCCGAGCGAACCGGTCGGATGCGCTCCTCGCCGTGGAGGCCGACGCCCAGCGCATCGGCGACGCCTGCGCGGACACGTATTTCATGAGCGTCAACATGACGGGCACGTGGGTGGAGTCCAAGGCTCCGAGGAGGAAGAGGCACCAATACCGCCACCATTGGCTCGTTTTCGCCTTCTTGGGCCTCCTGGGAAGCCGCCGCCGTCGCCACGGCTGGGTTCGCGTCGCAGTGGTGGTCAGATCGCACCCTGGGAGGGGTCAGGGGAGTGGCAGTATCGGCATCTTTTTGGTTCCCCCAAAAGGTCGCTTCGCTCGGGCTGAAGGGAGGCCACGGACTTTTCTTCAGCGCCGGCACCAAGGCAGCCAACACTGGCACGCCGTGGATGTCCTTCGGAAAGGTGTGGCTGAAGGTGAGGCACGGCCGCACCAGCACAGGCACAGCTTATCTGAACTTCTTCGCCCGCAACCTGAGGCACACGGGCCATCTCGTGGGAGGGCTCCTCGGGGAGGACGACCACACCGAGGTGGCAGCCGCGAGCGGCGCCTGCAAGAAGACCCTCGCGCTCTGAGACCTGGCAGCGCGGCTGTCCTGCCCTCGCACTCCTGCCCTTCCGCCCCCCTCCCTCTCCTTCAGCTCTTCCC